GAATCAAATGTGTTGACTCTAATGCTATTTCTGCCGTGGTTCTCCAGGTGGACGTTCAAGACCCGCGTTTCCAGGCTATGTTCACGTCCCATCTTTACAACCTGGACCCGTGCGACCCGGGCTACAAGAAAACCAAAGCAACGCAGAGCATCTTAGAGGAGAAACAGAGACGCAGAGAGGAGCGACAGCACAGCCAGGAGGAGGCGCTGAAGAGCAGAGCCACGCAGGAGAAGGACAAAGCAGAGCCGTCATCCTCCACTAAAGCCATGGACCCCAGTTTATCACTGCTTATCAAATCCATCAAGAACAAAACTGAACAGTTTCAAGTGCGCAAGAAACAAAAGACAAAATGACTCCGATAACAAGAGACTCGAGTCTGAAGTGGATTCATTGCTGTTTCATATAACGGGTTAGTTTTCTGGAGTCACTTTTGTGACTAATTTGTGCTTGGAGACAAAACGAGAAGTTTTTGATCAATAAATATCATACTTTCTCCTAGTTCAAAATTGTGAAAACATGTCTGCTTCAGACTTTTGTAATCGACCTGCCATTTTTGGATGAAAACATCAAGGGTTTGTTGCTTGATGAAATGGTTCAGAACGGTGTATCTATGCTTCCCAAACCTGTCCTCCAGGAAGCCAAACTCTGCATTATTTGTATGACCCCCTCATCTAACACACCTGATTGAACTCGTTAGCTCATTAGTAGAGACTGCAAGAGCTGAATTTGAGGCTAAGTGTATCCCATCATTCATCATGTGCTCTAAAATCATGAGATTTAAGGAAACTTTCCAGTGTAAGTTAAATTAATTAGATATTACATATACTTTTCTAAGTACAATGTGAAGTGTGGCATATTTTATTGGCACAGAGATGAGCATGTGTACGTCTTAAAATGCTATTTTGAGTCCAAAGTAGGTCATATGTGTGATTCGTGTAGATCCAGTAAGTTTTTTTCAAAATTGAAAAAGAGGTGGGTTTGCAAGAGTCACTCACAATGAAATGAGAACCATGTTTTATCAAAAAAACAAAAACATTTGTTTGAAAAAAAATGCATAATTAGTATTGTAATTTTAGTGTTGTTCTGTAAAAAAATATTAAATACTATTTCTTTATTTTACAGCCCAGTAGTAGTATTACTACTATAGTTTCATGTTTCATAAAATTTTTGTAATTTAACAGAATAAACATATCATCATCATATTATTATTATTATTATTAATTAATGCTTAGTAGTAGTAAGTTTGTTGAATTGTGATTTTTTTTTTTTGTGTAGACAAAATTAAAATAAACAATGTAGAAAAAAAATAAAAAATAGGGTTGGAACAAAACTCTGCAGGGCTCCGGCCCTCCAGGAATTGAGCTTGACACACCTGGTCTAAAGTAAATATTTTATTTAACTTTTTTCATTTAAATTTGTTGTTTGCTGCTTTAATTTCGATTCTATACTGATTCCATTTAGAACTTTTAGAATACACATATGTACAAATTTGCTAGATGTGAAGGTGAAATTATAAAGTAGTCAATCACAAGAAAGAGTGAACTTCTACATAGAGAAGCGAAATAGTCACTTTTGTAGGATATATTTTCAAATATGAGATGTTGCAATTCCCTTTTTCTGCTGTGGCAAAAACAGGTTTCTATTGATTTAAAAGGATCGTTCGACCAAAAATGAAAATTCTGTCATTTACTAACCCTCAAGTCATTCCAAACGTACTTTCAGAACATTAAATATCTTATATAGTTCTTCAAAATACCTTCTGTGTTCCAAACATTGTCATCATTTTCAGTTTTGCCTTAATTTAAGTCAAGAAGAGATTTCTGCTTCCTGTTTGAACAAAGCCAAACAGATTTAGATTCAGAATGTCACTTTTAATGAAAAATAGACATGGATAAGATGGAGTTAATGTTATCTTTATTCATGTTGACACACAACGCAGCTCACACATTCAAAAAAGTCTGTTGGCACTTTCACGGGCACCTCATTTTCTACATAACAGGAGAAACAGGCTTCCTCACCCGTGCCATATATCAAAGCACAGCTGTAAATGAATGAATGAACACCTCTTACACTTCAAATTCCAGTGAATCTGACCAGTGCTCAGAGCATGTAAAAACATCTCAATTCATGGTCCAGGAATATATAGTGTACATTAAAAATATCCACTTCACATCATTAAACCCAATCCAGAAAAGGCACAAATGACAGATTTTAGCCAAGTAATGTCAATAACACAGGGCTTGATTTGACCAAATAAAGTGGAACTCCAGTCCAGATCACAAGCATTTCAGAAGTAAAACCAACGGAATGAAATGATTCTAGATTGTGCCTCAGTGTTACAAAAACAGCTACGTTATGAGAAATAGTGCAATTAAGGTTTGGCATTGACATACACATGTACGCCATCTGAAAGAGCTCGAGTGTTGTGTTGTGTTTCAGGTTGTTTATCACATATTTTATCACCACAGTATAATTTGTCCAGTTTCCGAAGCAAATGCAAATGGTGTTCGACCTCGCCGCCATGCTGCTAGGCTGTTATGGATGATTGACAGGGTGTTACTACGTAGTCGCTAAGGTGTTCTGGGTGGTTTCTTACTGGCCTTAGTAAACAATCCCACTGTCTATGATATTCTGGTGTCTATATGGCTCAGGTCCCTCCTTCAGTGTCTTTTTTTGCCCATTTTATAGCGCAAATCCCAAGTCTGATTGTTTGGAAAAGTGACAGAACACTGAGTTTTGCACCAAACTTCCAAACTTTGAAGGAATAGCTCCCTTAAAATGAAAATTTGCTTAAAATGGACTCTCGGGCCATCCAAAATGTAGATGAGTTTGTTTCTTCATCAGAACAGATTTGGAGAAATTTAGCATTCCATCACTTGCTCACCAATGGATCCTCTGCAGTGAATGGGTGCCGTCAGAATGAGAGTCCAAACAGCTGATAAAAACATCACAATAATCCACAAGTAACCCACACCACTCCAGTCCATCAGTTAACATCTAGTGAAGTGAAAAGTTGCATGTTTGCAAGAAACAAATCATTAAGACGTTTTTAACTTTAGTCTGTTGGTTCCAGTTAAAATACGAGTCCTCAATCCATATTATAGCTTTCTCCAGAGGAAAAGTCGTCTTGTCTGAATTAGGAGAGAAATATGCACTGATCAAGCACCGTTTACAAGTGAAAACCATCCAGAACAGTTCTAAATATGTTGGTCGATTTTTGATGTGAGAGGACAACAAGGGATGGACTTTTTTTTACTGAAGGAAGTGTTATTATGAATTATGGATTCATATTTTATAGTTAAACATCATGATGGATTTGTTTTTTTCTCTTTACAAGATGTTAACTGATGGACTGGAGTGGTGTGGATTATTGTGATGTTTTTATCAGCTGTTTGGACTCTAATTCTGACGGCACCCATTCACTGCAGAGGATCCACTGCTGAGCAAGTGATGCAATGATGATTTTCTCCAAACCTGTTCAGATGAAGAAACAAACTCATCTACATCTTGGATGGCCTCAGGATTAGTACATTGTCAGCAAATTTTAATTTTAGGATGAACTATCCCTTTAATAAAATCCATATTTGAGTTTGAGTAATAATAATAATAGTGATATTGTCTTAATTAGCACCACTAGTTATCCCTCTCCTCATCTTTTCGCTCAAAGTCTTTGTAAAACCCCTCTTAACTTCATGCCGCTTACATACAATGTTGTGTTGCACCAAAATGTTGTAAAATATAGGATTACATGAATATTAAGTAGAGAAAATAAGTTTTCAGCGAAACGCTTCAGGACAAATTGTGCTTCACGTGTTCAGTAAAAAAATTATACAAATACTTTAGAGTTCAGTAAAATAGTTTCATTACGATACGACACACAAGGCAATAAAATGATTCTGTAGAATAAATCAAGTGTGTGACTTCACGAATTAGCTTTGAAGATATTAAATCATCTTCCTCACAACACAACATGTCTGCTGTTAGTCAGAGCAGGCGGTAAATTATTATTTAGCTTAAACGCTGTCAGTCACCAGAAAACGTGAACCTCACGTGACCTTTAAGTAGACGAGAGCTGTTTCAGCAATGCTCAAAAAACTCACTTCATGAGGATTTACGTGATGCAGATGTTGACGCTTTTAAGTTGTACTTTTATGTTTAGCAGACACGTTCTTATTAGTGTCATTTTCAAGAAAGATTCATCCAGCTAAGTAAGTGAATCATAATCTCTGCTCTTAACAGAATACAACACACAAAAATGAAAATTAGGTCATTTACTCAACCTCATGTCATCTAATTCACCCATGCACCATTTTCCAAGTGATCTGAAGTCATATGACAGCTTTTATGTGAGGACATTTATGTCGTTATTAATTATAAATCATTCACTGAAACCTAATTTGCACACAAATTTTTAACTTGCCATCACATTTAGCTGCAATAACCAACTGCCTTTGCTTTCATCAACATCAAACATTGCAAAGCATGTCTTGAAACACCAAATTTTGAATATGTGCAACTGGAAATGAGACTTGAGAGTTTGAAAGCCTCAACTAATCAATAATAATAATATTACAAAAAAGGTTTGGGGTTGGTAAATTGTTTTGCTCACCAAGGCTTCATTTATTTATAAACAGTAAAAACAGTAATATTGTGAAATATTATTTCAATTTAATATAACTGTTTTCTATTTAAATATATTTAAGGATTAAATTTATTGCTGTGATCAAAGCTGAATTTTCAGCATCATTACTCCAGTCTTCAGTGTCACTTGATCCTTCAGAAATCATTCTGATTTGCTGCTCAAGAAACATTTCTTTTTATTATCAATAATTCAAGATAATATCAGGATTCTTTGATGAACAAAGTTCAAAAGAACAGCATTTATTTGAAATAGAAAACTTCTAACATTATAAATGTCTTTACTGTCACTTTTAATCCATTTAATTGGTTCTTGTTGAATAAAAGTATTAACTTTTTTTTTTTTTTAAATAGTACTGACCCCAAACTTTTGCACGGTAAAGTGTATTTCATGGTGTAAATTAGGTTTAATGGACCACTTTAAGATTTCTAAGTCTGACAGCCTCAGTCTCCATTGATCCTGGATGGAAAACAGAAGCATGAAATTTTATGTTGCACAGAAGGCATATTGGTTTTGAAGACAATGAGGCTGAGTAAAATGACCGAACTTCATTTTCAGGTGCACTAACACTTCTAATATAGTCTATATGGATTGTCAGTAATCTCCAAGAATCTTTTTACAGCCTTTGTGCAAAATCTGAGCAGCACTTCATTAAGGAACAACAAGACTGGTTTCTGATTAATCAGTTGTGAATGGGACGCTCTCTCAAGCATAAAATATGAGTTCGGGGATCTGCCCCCCCTGCACACCTGTCCCGTTGGTGCTGTCCGAAGAGCACTGGAACTGGAAGGTCACCTTCCCGCACTGGACCTCCGTCATGCCCTCCTGGCCAAAATAACTCAACTCGTTCCCATCTAGAACCACGCTGGCTGTGTAGAAGGTGTCGGGTTCGATCTGCACCGGGTACTCGAAGAAGACGGGGAAGGTTTGGCTGGAGCCATCGGAGAAGTATTTGATGATGGCGACGCCGAGCGTCACGCCTTGCCGCTTCAGCTCGATCTTGGCCTGGTACTCCGCCGAACCGCAGCTGGAGCCGTACAGCCCGAACCCGGTGATGAAGACGCGCTTGTCCACGGCGAACTGAATGCTGTCGCAGCGCCCGCGGTATCGCCACTGATTGCCGCGGTAGGCGCAGGACTGAAAGCGGTGGCACCTCTGCGGCGTTAACCCTTTCCGTGGTTTGCAGACGAACTTCAGCTCCGGTTTCTTGGCCGCTGTGTACCACAGGAAAATATCGTTGGTTTCGTTGAGCGTCAGCACGCCGGACTGCGCAACGCCGTTGGCGAAATCATCGAGCGCCATCGCCGGGATCCGTATCAGGTAGATGTTCTTTCCTAAAACAAGCCGTTTGTTCTCGATGCTGGGCTGGAGTTCCTGTCGGTGACACTCGGCCTCCGCCCAGCTCAACGCCGCCTCCAACACCACCATCTCCTTGGCGTTGAGCGTCTCGCGCCGCAGAATGCTCTCCAGAGTCTGAGCGTCGATGTCGCAGAAGCCCTCGGAACGGAGCGCGAGCTCGGCCTGCGCGTCGATCACCTCCCAGCAGCGCTGCGTGAGGTCGGGCTCCTCGAACAGGCAGCTCTGAGAGAGCAGGACGCAGGCGTTTCTCGCGCTCAGGCTGGTCTCCAGGAAGTTGACGCAAGCGCGGGCCAAGTGGGGTACAATGTATTTTTTGGCGGCGTACAGCGTGGCGAGGACGGTGTCAGCACACAGGTCGATCTCATCGCAGTAGATATACCTGAAAGCAGAGTGCAAAACTTTTTTGAAATTTGCAAAGAATGTGCAAATAAATTCTAAAACATAAATGAATGCTCCTTCACTGAAGCAAATGAGAGACAAATAATAAACATTCTGAAATTCATGGTAAATGCTAATTACTATGTCATTTGTAATGAAAAACGGTATTAGTTCAAAATATTTGTAAATAAATAAATGTAATTTGTTTTTTATTTTATTAGAATTTTTATAAATGTTCTGGACTATCTAAGCCCATAACATAAGTAGAATAAACATTTATTAAAATAAAAAAAAGGCTAAAATTAAAAGGGGTAAATTTATATCTTCATGACCCCACGACATCAAAATGTGCAAAAAATTTTGTGTCTTTTAATTAAATATTAGCTTAGTGTCTATCTATACGCTAGGGTCTGAAAATCGTACTTGAGCATGGCGAGGAAGGACGCTGGCTCCACATCAGGGATCCGGATCTCGTCCTTATCTTCAGCCAGTTCTCCGTAGAACATGGCATGAAATACAGAACTACCAACAGCCAGGACATACTGAAAAAGACAAAGAAAATGCATTCAAAAAGAGATTATAAGCATCACTCAAGAACATGTCCCGATCATACTTCATCCCAAAACCAAAAGGAAAAAATAAATAAATTCTGCATAAAAAAAGAAAGAAATCTAATTAAAATACTCTAATATCTAATTTCTAATTTATTGTATTTACTGGAGTGATTCCATGTCAGTATTTCTGAAACATGGCTGAAGCCTGGTAATTCTGTACCTTGTGTCCCGGCACTCTCTGGGTTCCTCCAGGAGGTCCCACCACAAAATGAATATCGGCCATCAGCTCGTTGTTGAACATGACTGTGTTTCTGCAGAGGACAAATGAGCGAGACCCTTCACATACAGCGCTATCAATGCAACATCACGTGCTGAGCCAAGTCTCCTGAACACATATAACATCTGGGAGATTTATTTAGCTCATGGTTGTTGTTATTACTATTATTATTATGATTTATATGGAAAAAAATTTGCTAAATGTATATAATGCGCGAGTACATCATGAATTCATCTTCCAAACCGCGTTTTTGTCTTATTCCGAATCACTACGGTACTCTTATAATAATAAGTACTTATATTTGGACTATTGTAGCCTGGTCACCGCTGCGGAGTAACACATACCTGCGTGAATCGCCAGAGACATAAACTCAGAGAAGAGAAGTAGCTCCGGTTGGAATGTTCTTCCGCGGGATGTGTGCAGTTCTGTTTAGTAACCGCTAGAGCGCCAAAAGTTACATAGTGCTGCTTTAGACTGTTGTTACAGTCGTAACAAAACAGTCGTGTCTTGATGTGATACGGTGTTTCTCACAAATTACAAATATTTGCTGTAAGAATTGCTACCAAATAATTTATTTAATGCCAAATAAAATATTTATTTTATTTATATATTTTTAAACCTATATTGCATTGATAGTAATATACCAGAAGGTGGCGCTTAATGCAAGGTTTTAGAATAATTTATAACCTTTTTAAATCGTTGCAAATTGACGTATTTTTTGCATTCTTTTTTTCTTTTATTATTTTCTATTTTATAATATGCTATTTATTTTTTAATACATCCTTATATATCATATCATATTATATATAAATATATATTTTAATTTTTCATTAAGGAAATCAAGCTGAAACTCTGAAAACTAAAATTATAGAATGATATTTTAAATAGAAATGGCATACATTGTGAACATTGCCTCAGGTGCTCCTGATCTGCAACCATGACGAAAGAGTTTTCATCTTTGCAGATTGTTCAGTTTGCCAGCTGTAACAAGGGAATTAATGTATAATTCTAATATAAGAATGTTTAGCTCATAAATAATGGGCAAGACTATCTAATAACATACTTTTTTCCATAAACATAAATTTTTTAATAAACACTTTCTCTTGCCACTGACAAAACATGCATTACAAAAAGATACTGGATTTCTGCACCTTACACATTTTTAGACATCTACCAATTATCCTAACCATCCTCAGCCTTAAACATCGAGGTCAGTGTGCGAAATTCACAGACTGCAAAGAATCTCTTTTATTAGTGATAAAATAGCAAATATTCAGACCCATCACTGGAATCCCACGGCTAGCAAACCTCTGACTGAACATTGACCCTGGAAAGCAGCTTGATTGGAGCTTAACAGCAAAAACAGTCACAGGAATGCGATGCAGCCCTTGTTGCACTGATGCAAAGGCTTTACGTAATGATTTACTAATTACACTATAGAGGTCTCAGCCTTGGGGAATGCTGGGTAACGGTCTCTCAGTCAGACTCCCGACAGGCACCGACCTAATGGAAGGGGTCCGTAAACAAGCCACACTTTTATTGTCTGGGCATTGATTTGTATCTCTCAGACCAATTCTAGGCCATTTAGAGGTTTTTAAACTAGGAAATGACCATTGTTTGCCTGTCTACAGTAGTTATGGTCGGCTTGTACACAAAATGGTTCTTTTTTAATGTTCGTGTGGAGACCCATACTATGCTTACTCTTCTATTCATAGATCCAGTCAGTTTTCTTTGCTTTTCCATAAAGTCTGAGATTAAACTGCTGTGGTAAAGCTTGTGAAATGTTATATTAAAATATCAGTTTAATAAAACATCAGTTTGCTTTTATAGGATGGTTGATTTGGTTATGGCAGACACAAAAACATGCAAAGCACAATAAGAAACCAGAATGTGCCCAAGATGTATTTGGACACTTAGCCACACTTACAAGTGGCTGAATTTCATTGTATTCACAAACAAATGCTGTTAAAGCCTCTCTCAAAACTTAGTTTCATTGGTATCTTCATTTTTTAACAGCATATCTACTGTTTTAACATTTAAACTTAATAAACGTATTTTTTATGAAATGTTCTCATACAGCAAAATAAGAAAATAAATACATTTTAAAACATACGAAAAAAGGCCAAAAAATATGTTTGTTAAAATATGTTTCAAAATATATTTGCATATTTTCTACCAATATATTTTTGGCCATTTTTTGATATGTAAATATATTTTACAAATGTAAATATTAAATATATTTTTAAAGATTTTAAAATAAACATTTTCGATCCAAGAAAAAAAAAAAACTTTATTTGTTGCCTTTAACATTTTAACATAATACATTTTAATAAAAATCAGCAAGGACCATACTTTACAATGTTCCAAAAAATTACAATTTAATTTTTAGTTTTGATCTCTTGTCGGCTATTCCATTCTGAAGTGAAGTGACATATGTGTGGCCAAGTATGGTGACCCATACATGGAATTTGTGCTCTGCATTGAACCCATCCAAGTGCACACACACAGTACTGAACACACACCCGGAGCAGTGGTGCTGCGGCACCCAGGGAACAGTTGGGGGTTCGGTGCCTTGCTCAAGGGTTTCACCTCAGTCGTGGTATTGAGGGTGGAAGAGAGCGCTGGTTACTCACTCCCTCCATCGACAATTCCTGCCGGATATGAGACTCGAACCCGCAACCTTTGGGTTACAAGTCCGACTCTCTAACAATTAGGCCACGACTGCCCCATTCTGCAGTTGCATTTAGCCTAATTGTAGGCTACTGTAAGACTGCCAATTTATTTTCTTGCCCCGAAATGAATTTTTAAATATATTTTGTTGTATGAAGGTCTAAAACTAAATACATTTTCTATTTCTAGCTTCACTGTACAGAAAGTGTGGTTGTGCTGTCTTTCTTTAAAATGTATGCCACTTGGTTTGGTATTTTGTTATCTATCAATGATATCCTGACATTTTTAAGTGTGGTTTAAGTCTCCAGTAACTTTTTGGGGCCACTGTATTTGCAGTTTATATTTGAGTAACCACAGATAATGAGCTATGATTAACAGCATATGCAGGTATATTTACATAACTCATGTGGCGTTGCAGCCATAACATTATACAATATCTGCAAATACAGATATTGTATCATTTTAGTTGAATGTGGCAGCTAATGAAATCTGATGTTTTATTTTTTCCTCTGTAGTGAGCGGCGGTGATTTATGCCCCAAGTGTATTGTGGGATATCAGAGTCTCTGAACACAGGGTTGGTAAGACTTTTCCTACTCCACAATGATTTGAATTTGGCCTTTGTGTTTATTCCTTCTTTCATTAGATTATCTGTCATTTTGCAAAACGTATTTTGTACCATTGCACAAAACGTCTATGATATTGAGATATGATTTATGATCATTTGAGCCCACCAGAGCTCACACTGTATATATAAGTTTATTTTAAAATTGATTTCAAAATATATTTCAACATGCTTTCAACATGAAAATTGATTTCCAAATATATTTCAACATGCTTTCAACGTGAAAATTGATTTCAAAATATATTTCAACATACTTTCAACATGTTCCACTAATATTTAACACTTAAAAATTGTGCAATTTTCCCCCATA